AATGCACACAAATTTCCCCAAGGCTCTCGGTGAGTGTCAGCTCTTCAGTCAGAAGTATACTTTTGAGGACCTCTCTCCACTCACTGTACATGTCCACCTGGTTGCTGGAAGATACTGGCTCCAGTCTCCAGGTAGTTTGAGGCCTGCCGAGGGACTCATGTCGATGTATGCTGGGACTGAATGTGTGTGTGTGCATCATATTTAGGAGATACATAGAAAGTAAACGTTACCAATAACACATTTGAGGGAAGAGGGCTAGTTGCATTTATTTATCCAGTATACAAGTGTTATATCAATTTTACAAGTCCAGCCAGCCTACTCAGGTATATAGTACTAGGCGGTCTGTAGAATAATTATAGGTAAGCCTTCTTTCAATCACACACAATGTGTGTGAATCTTCAAGGCACCAAATTAACCCTGTGCACCCACAGAATGAAGCAATGTGACCTTCACATCTTGTGTCAGGGTGTGGTGTACTACAGTACTATGAGACAGCCTAGAGAGAATTCATCAGGATTTCCAAGGGATCGTTAGTTACATAACTTTGCATAACTTTTTGAGGACTAAATTACCTGAAGGACTCCGTCTTGCATTCTCCAGATTGTAACTCATCTTCTTCCTGTGGTAAAATACACCAGAAAAGCGATGTATCATAGAGGTGTCACCAAATAGACATTGGCTGAGCTGCAAAAGTACAGAAGAGGTGTAATACCTGACAGCTTGTTCTCTGAGGACAATACGTGTACCAGTGACAACTACAGTCACTGATATCAGTAACACTAAAACAGTAGCTCCAACACTGCCACCTATGATGACTGCTGTGTTGGCTGCAGTACTTGATGAATTTCCTGGAGTGACTGAATACAATAAACAGTAGAGAGAGTTACGTAATATGTACAGCATGATTGAGGGTTATTTAATACCTGGAGTAGGAATTTGCTTTCAGACATCTGACAAAGGCCCGTGCACAACCAGTAGTGTCAGCCAAATCCACACCATCATGATGACAGTCAGCCAGTCTCTTTTCTGATCCAGAGCAGTTCACTCCAGACAGAAGACTCTGGAGGTGAAAGTCACCAGACTGCAGCGGTCTAACCTCAGTAGTTTCTGCAGAGAAGTTAACAATAGTGTAATCTGACCTGTTCTGCTTTAAAACATTTTGAGAACTAACCAACTTCAGCATATCCTAGCTGTCTGCAGGCCACTTGGGCATTTTCATTAGTCCAGTCGCCTGTTGCAGCACACACTGTTCCCCAGAGCCCAGTGTAGCAGACTTCAATGTTACCACTCACAGAGTCAACGGTGCCGACTGTACCACCTTGCACACGTATGTCACCGTCTCGACAGCTACCTGGAGGGAGCTGAGGTCAGGAATGGTGGGTCAACACTGCTTCAGGTTGTATGAATAAAACTTACCTTCACATATTACACCAACATCATCGGCGTGTAAACAAACCCCCACACTATTCACGTCAGAATGAGAGCACTCGGTTATATTGCTCTCATTGCCAGAGCACTCCACATTCGATGATGAGAATAGGCTGTGTTGATGGCCCAACACCAAACATTGCATCTGTCGTAACTCCAATAGGTACTGTGTGAACGTAACCTTAAAATGAATAACGAGAAATTGTCTATAAACTCACTCGCAGAATCGTTGCCCAATCCTAACTGCCTGCACACAACGGAAGCTTCGAGACTACTCCAACGTTCGAATTTGCAGATGGTTCCCCACACCCCATTGAAACAGACCTCCACTCTCCCTGCCAGTTTGGTGCCATTTACTTGACGAACAGCTCCCGTCTCACACGTATTATTCTCTGGAACTGCCAGAATTGTTAGACGGACCAACAAACTAGTTCAGTAGTACTGTTAGTAGTATGTACCATGGCATATGACTCCTCCAGCTCTTTTGGCGCGATTGCAGGTAGGTGCAATGTCCTCTGCATCACATCCGTGCAGGCTACTTGGTGGGTTCAAACTACTACACCACACCAACCCATAGGAATATGGTCCTGTTACATTCTCATACGATATGGCAACTGCATCTAAATGATTGCAGACACTCTCTAACCAACTTTATAAAGGTACACCACAGAGTTATACCTTTGGAAGGTAAGCCAAGCTGAGTACAGATGGTCTTAGCGTGCCTCACAGTCCAGTAGTTAAAACTAGTGACGCATATGGGACCCCACAGAGAGCTGTTGGCGCCAGGAGGGGTGTAGCATGCCTCCACCATTCCCATATACCCATTGTTGCCTTCTGCCAGACGGACATCATACTCAGTGCAGGCGGGAGCAAGAGGACCTGTGGATGGTGAATAGCTTAGATCCCCCATGGTAGTGCATTATAAATAATTCAGCAAGTGGTTGCAGTGTTGAACCTATGAGATCTAGTGCCACGGGACTGCTTATCATTTTACCTTCGCCACTTTCTCCGACATCAGCTCTGATTATTCCACCACTTGCCAGCAGTAGTAGCGACACGTACAACAATATTAGTTCCCTTCGCATTCTGTGACTCGCAACTAGTTAGTCCAACTTGCCGTTGACCGAAAAAGAAGCTAGATGACCGACTTTTGGTGTGAGTGGGGGAGGGTCTTGCTATTATGCGCACACGCAGCAGCGTCGCCGCCCTTGTGTGCGCATGCGCGCGGGAAAAATCTCCAGACAAAACGTCATTCTGGAGAAGACCTCCGCTCATAAAGAGATGAGCTACGGTGTCGTCCGAACTGCACCCACAGGAAACGATCAGCATGGCTAGCAAAATCTATCTCACACTCCTGAATGCACGTGCTCGTACCACAGGTCGCACTGTAACTTGCTGCTTACAAAAAAGTTTACTGTATTTGTTTTGGAGGTGTAGTTGTGTGGACTGGTTTAAAAATAACTAGTTGATGTGATGATGACACCAGTGATTATTACTCTGTGACTTTATGGCTGTGACAAACGACAATGATAGCTCTGACTTTATATATCGACTGACTGTATCTGTTGCACTGAACGGACAATATTCCCAAAACTGCTAAACTGTGCTGAGGCTGCTGAGTGACTTTGGAAATGGACTGATTCAGAACTGGAACGAGACTCTGGGGACGAGAGCCGAGGAAGATTCATCACACAGTTAACCCCCGGCCCACCAGTCTCAGAATTGTGGTCCAGCAGACTACGATGGTCCAGCAGTCTCTGGAGAGGGTACGAGAACTGAGAACGGGCTTCCAACAGGGCTCGCTGTATCTCCTCAAACTCAGGGCTAAGCTCGGCGTCATTGCTGCTGGTGATAGACTTAGCCTCCACGTCGCACGTGCTCCAGTCTCTCCAGTGGCAGCATACCCACTGGCCGTGCTGCCCAGAGCCTCTGAGACTGAGAGAGCTGAGCCAGACTGTGGAGGAGACACGGTGTTCTCCACTGAGGCAGAGCCGAGAGAAAGTGACGGGCTGCTGCTTTTACTACCACTTGCCTCAAGAGGAGAAACAGTGATCTTTACACTCAGTTGATTCTCAGATAGAGAGCTGTTTAGATCATCTTCGGGTGCAGAGAGGAAATTTTCAGTTTGGATGACTTTAGATTTACAGTTCTCTCTTTCACACGCCTCCATGTCTTGCAGGGGTCTGGTCTCAATATCAGTTTTGCCTCCGTCTGGAATTTCTATAGTCGACCAAGAATCCTTGTCTCTATCTTTATTCCTGATATTATGTCTCTCCTTTCTTTGCCTTCTCTTTCCCTTTCTCTCCACCTTTATTCTTTCTCCTGCACCAACAAGTTTCTCACCACTCTCTGTCGAACTGTGAGTAAAGACTCAACGTCTGAGACGGCAAGTGAGCGAAAGGTTTGGGCACTAAGAGAGAGATCGCCTGTGATGACCTTTAGCAGAAATTTGAGCTTTGTGATGAGAATGCGGGGGATGGCCATTGGAGAGCCTTACAGGCTATATATGTTGTTGGCTGTATTATTATACTGTAACCCTTGCTGTGCATGCGTGCCGAGGGTTAATGAATCTCTGTTTGCCTAGAGCAAGAGCAAAGGCATGTTTAGTGGTGTGGGATCAGTTCACAGTCTTTTTTCAAAAAAGCTGCAGATGGTGGCACACAATACATTCTGCTGCTAAACAGAATGGCTTGTTATCTGAGTCCCAAAGCTGTACATGTATCTCTAAATAATGCGTCTGCGTAACACAGACCCCAGGCATATGCATATACCAATTGGACTCTGATGGGCTTAAGTATTGCTTAGTTAATTTAAAGGTGAAGGTGTAGCATAAAGTTTTAGCACTGCAAAATTATGATTACACTAAAAAATGTGTACAGAGAGTATTATGTAGACAAATAACTACTGCACCAAAACAGGGGGTAAAATCTCATCTGTGATTGGACTGAATTGTACTCGATCGGTTTCAGCAATTACCTACTAAGAAGAGTAGGATGAAGGAGAGAAGAGAGAAGTGAGAGATGATGAGGTAGAAAGAAAGAGTGTGAGTGTAAATGTACAGCAGAAAAGGGAGAATAGAAATGAATGCCTCAATACACACATTAGTGCAAATTCTCAATGCAACAGAAAAGTGCATGCTTACAAAAACGGCAGAAAACTGAATTTCTCTAAGGATAGGTCAAAACAAGTTAACTTCAATCCTCGGTGAGCAGGAACTAGCTAGAAGGTTGAGGTATACATGGTTGTACGTTCTATCAGCTCCACTTAATCTTGCATCTCGATTGATGACACACACAACAGAGTTTAACCGCTTATACCTTAAACATGTTTGGGACCACCACAGAGATTATTTTTGTGACAGATCAGCAGGTGTTTTCTGCATTGCTGAGATATCTAATCTCAAAGCATAAGCTGGCAAGATACCCACACAGAGGAATCAGTGAATAGTGGAAATGATGCATGAGCTGGTGCAGTTCTCTGGTTTGCTGCCAGCATAAGCAGTTTTGCCGAACTGTCACTGCAGGTGCTCGTGTTCCACTTAAGTGCTTTTTATTAACCCTCGGAGCGAACACATAGGCATTGGTATATACAGTGGCCTCTGTGTGCGTCTGTTTGTCTTATTCTGGCACTGTAGGCCACAATGTGGCCTATAAGCGATACAAGTTGCTTTTGCTGGGCATGCACGACCAGGATTTTACGAAAAATGCAGAAAAGTTCTGGCAAGTTCAGAGTATGACCTAAAGTAAGAGAGTGTGAGCTGCTGTACATAATGTTGAAGCATGGATATTCATGATTATGACGGGAAAATTGTGCAATTTCAACGTCACTACATTTCTTCGCTACCCAATAACGGTATTCTGCACACAATTTCTATGGAGAATTGCCTGTATGGATGGAACCAGTATAATTATAGCTAGCAGACTCACAGGGCTTTATATTATTTTTTACTGTTTTACTGTTTATAAGCAGAGGTGGAGATATCCAGACTCTCTCTCCAGGATGCCATCAAATGTATGGACAAGGCTCTCAAAGTTTGGTCTGTCACCAGAGATCTCTGACCAGCACACCATCATAACATCATAGCTGTTCGATTGGAGAGGTAGAACCCAATCTCAAAACGTTATTGTCTTACATGTTATCAGAGCAGATGTCGTTGGTAGGTCTCTCCAGTCTCTGGCCAGATTTGAGGATATTCAGAATGCTCATGGCACGGATCCCAGAGTATGGGACACGGCCAAAAGTGAATACTTCCCAGCATGTAACTCCAAATGCCCACTGTACACACACAAACACATGACACACAATGTAACACCTGCCAATCCGATCAGAGGATCTAAGGGTACTATAATTATATGTGCATCTTTAATGTATGGTCTGACCACATCAGTCTTCTCGCTGTGTTTGCCCGTCTCAATGCTCTCAGGAGCCATCCACCTGATGGGCACCTTCTCCTCCCTGGCCACAACCTCCTCCTTGCTCCGGCAGAAGTAGCCGCCGGAACTGTACACATCTTCAGAGAGCCCAAAGTCGGCCACTTTGACAACGTTGTTCTCGTCAATCCTACAACAACATGCTAATCATACCACATTCCTCCAACCCATCCTTCATGCCAAAGATAATAGATACAGATCTGCCCACATCGTGTGTTAATAACTCGTTATATGCTTGGCTTGCTACAGGAGCACTGGCTCTTCAATCTTATAGCATTACACGTATCAAGCAATTCTATATAGCTGAGATTTTTTTACAGAGAGTTGCCTACGTTAGACACTGATATCTAGCTTGACATCACAATCGATCTAGTATAAAGGGTTGTTTATTTTACTCACATGCAATTCCTGGCCGCAAGATCTCTGTGGACAAACTTGCAGTCTGCCAGGTACTTCATTCCTTTCGTGATTTGGTGGCAAATTCCAAGAAAAGTTGTCCTAATTTTCGTTTCCTTGACATTCGAAATCACAATACATGGTTAAAAATGTATAATTAACATACTTGCAATAGATTTTCCTTCATATATCTGACATACTCCAAGACACTGCCTTTTGCCATAAATGGCATTATAATCAGGGGCATCTCTCCATCAAGACACACTCCAATAAGGGTCATCACGTTCTTGTGTTGAAATGATGCCATTTTACTCATCTCTTTTAACAGGTTCTCTTTCTCTCTCTCAGAAGACAGTGCTGGGCTGATATTAAACACAGACAAACAATGCATTCCATCCTTTCCTACCTTTGCTAGTCTTGATCGCAGCTAAGTTACCACCATCAACATATCCTTTAAACACCAATCCAAATTCTCCTTTGGTAATGGTAATTAGATATCCAATTACTGATGAACATTTTATATAGCAGCTGGAGATACCTTGCCCAATGGTGCTGGAAAGGTGAATTTGTGCTTTTGAAATAATCATGTTCTTATGCCGAAGCTGCCAATGCAATTGTTCCTTTAGCTCTACAGACAGTTTTTTATCTATGAAATAGAAATAATTTGGAATGCCCACAGA